TAGATATAGGTACTAGGTTATGTGGATTTGACTGCTTGGTGTAGAAATTGAAGTAGCCAAAGTTCATCGCTTTCTTGTGCAGCTACTTCAAAAAAGTTCTACCGTGTCAATCAAATAAGTAGGACTTTCTTGGTAACTTTATAGACTCCAGAACCATTTCGTTACATACAGATTCCAAACTTGAAAGTCTAAACCCAAAGTAAGTATAGCAGTCGACAAGATGAGTTAGGTTGATCGTTTTGGTGGTTTACTTTGAGTTGCCACCTTATGGGTATGAGCTGAACATAGTTTCCTTTATACCCATACTGTTTTTTAGTTTATCTTTTATGAGTCATCTCCTGATGATGCTAACTTGGCTAACAAAACGCGCGTCGAAAGATAGTAGTTTGTTCTGGTGTGGCAATCGATCTATGATTCACTGGAATCATACCCAGAATTCTTCATATATAATAATATTAATGTAGTCCTTCCCGACCACCAGAGCAAAACGATATTTGTCGTGGAGTTTTCAGCTCCTGGCGAGACGAATATCGTCAGAAAAGAGGAGGGAAAAAGGATAAAATATCGAGATTTTCTGTTCGAACTCTGCAGACTCTATTCAGATCACTCGTTCAAGATGGTTGTTCTGATTATTGGAGTCCTTGGTGGAATGATGTCCTCTCTACTCTCGAATCTCAAAATCATACCGGCTTGCCGCACTAAGGCAGAAATCTTAGCCGCACAGATGCAGAAGGCTATCATTCTTAGCTCANAGAGTAACCACATAGTTATCATTATTCATGAACATATTGACATTGAAGTCACCTAATATTATAATGTCATCAGTTTCACTGAATAATTCAGTTAAAGTGTCTTCGAAGTGATTTATGAATTGTGCAAAGTTCGAATTGGGAGGGCGATATATATTTCCTATGATAATTTTTCTATTTGGAATTGTAGTTTCAATCCATATCTCTTCCAAAAAGTCTTTGGAATCCTGATACAATATCTTACATTTCAAATGATTTTTTATATAAATTCCAACACCCCCACCTCTCCCATTCCGATCCTGCCTGATGAAATCATAATCTTTTATTTGTACCATTTCTCCACTTATTCCTTCATGCAACCAGCTTTCAGAAATTCCCAGTATGTCATATTTGAAATTTTCTAAATGATCTCTAACAATATCGAAATCACTGTGAAGCGATCTCACGTTAATATGTCCACAATCAAAATGAGCAAATAAAGAGATAACAAAGATTATTGATATATTACGTGAATTAAAGAATACAAAAAAAAATTATCCAGATCGAGACGTACAATCAAAAGTTTTTTTTACTTTTCTGGTTGTGCATTGAAAATAAAATCCATCAAATACTATTTTAGGTGCAAAAGAGTAAGAAAGTAAATTTGAGTGATCACAGAAGCCTGAATTCGGTTTGATTCAAATGTGTTTAGGAAAAATGACCATATTCTCCGCCTATGCTCACCACCTTCATCGTAAGATCAAGCAAGCCAACTAGTTGCAAAGTATGTAACAATGGACAATAGCGTCCAATGTATTTTACGCAATGTTGTTTTTGAGTTCGCATGAGTCGGGCAGGAAACACACCATATGAGTAAAACATTTAATTTGTATGCATTTCAAGGACTCCGAACATGTTAATTTCACGTAGAGAATAAATTATTATATAAGATAGCGCTCTTATATATGCATTCGTATGTGAGGTACCGTAAGATAGTGGACTTGTTGATACATCGAAGGTTTCAAGACTGGTGTACAGGGTGCAATGAAAATTGTTGGGAAATATGATAATTATAAAAGTGTTGGTTTTAAAATCAATAAGAAAATTACTTTCAAATTGAATGAAAATTGGATTTTATGGAATTTAAGAAACTATATAGACGGAACAACCTTAATTTGGGGAACAACTTGTTGTGTGAAGTTAGGAGTTTATACTCAGCACAACGATATTTTTTCATACAGAAAAAACAACTGAATGATCAAAGTCTGCTTCACAATGACTTTATCGGAATAATTAATGCAGAATTTCGTTTGAACGGGAAGAGAATAATTTTTGGGTTCTTCATCAGCAGTGTGGAAATCTTTCGAAGAAAAAGGTGAATTTCTCAATTTTTCCAATAGATAAAGTTTTGAAATTCCAAACAGCATTTTGAGCTAGAAAGTTGTATACAACTCTTGAAACCTCATGAAGTTTAAATTAAAACTTTTTTGGATTACTGTGGATTACTGCGTACGTTGCATATACGAAGGATAAATTTTTCTCAACCTCTTTGGTATGCCTTCGATCCAAAGAAATAGAAACTGCTTTTTCTGTTGAGCTTTTTTCTCATAACTAATGTCTGTTTTACCACACTTTTAGTATCTAATCTATAAAAGATCTTTTTTAATGATGAATTTCATTAGTTGGGACTTCCATTGTCTGATATTATATAAAATGATTTGAAATCCCTGAAATGATTAAAAAAGAAGAATTAAAAATGAATAACTGAAAATAACAATTATATCAAGCAAAAAAATTCGAAATTAAATAATAGTGAAATAAAATAAGGCTTCGAGG